TCGCCGCACCTAGTTTCCCCGGCGAGGAGCGAGGGGCGACAGGCTTTCACGTCGGGGCCGGTGCCTCGGCGAAGCTGGCCGTCGTGGCGAAGGTGACCGGAGCTCTCGGCGGGACGCACGCTCGGGGGACTGAGGTCGTCGCAGGTACTCGTCGATCTCCCGAGGTCGTTCACTATAACGGGGGCGCGGGTTGTTCGTGTGGAACCCGCGCAGCTCAAGTCGTCGGTATGGGCATCGGTGGTAGGTGTGGTCTGCTTCCCCGCAGTGGAAACACACAGGGCGTCCGTCGGGCGTTCGCCACACGTCGGTCTTCCGAGGTACGTGGGGCTCCTGGCAGGTGCACTGGACCTGGTCGTCGTGGCGTCTGTCGTGTTGCGGCGCAGGAGACTGACGTTGGGGCGGCGCGACATAGGTGCTAGGAGGAGGCGGTGGCAGTCGGGCTACTGCGGCGTAAGTCAACGTGGGCTCCTCGGTGGCTGCCACGGCGACGGGAGCCTCTGGTTGGTAGGCTCTCTGAACTTCTTCCCGCACAACCTCGGCGATGGAGAGCGTCGCTGGTCGGTTTGCGGCTGGCAGCAACCGGCGGATTTCCTCCAGGACGACCTCCCGGATGATTTCGCGGATGTCCGTACCAGGAGCGTTTTCGCCGCTAAGCAGAGCGGTTGCAGTGACGCTTGGATGCCGCTGGTAGTGGAAAGCGCGCGCTTGGAGGGCGCGCTCGATGTTTGTTGCCTCGGTGACGAAGGCGTCGACGGTTGCCGGCGGTTTGCGGACGAGGCCTCCGAAAATGTCGTCTCTCACCCCGCGCATGAGAATTCGTAGCTTCTTCTCTTCGGTAGCCCGAGGGTCGGCGCGGGCACTCAGGCGCAGAACGTCGTCTACAAAGCCGATGGCGCTCTCGTTGGGGCCTGGGTTCTGGTTCGCAGTAGGTCCTCGGCTCTCTTTCGGCGGTGGTGGTTGCTGAACGTAGCCTTGAGATCGGTCTTGAACATGTCCCACGACGTCAAAGAGGACTCATGATTCTCGTACCAGTGCTTGGCGGTACCCTCAAGCGAAAAACAGACGTTGCGCAGGCGCTGCTCGTCGGTCCAGCAATTGTGGCGGGCAACGCGTTTATGCTGGTCAACCCAGTCTTGGACGTCTTCGTATTGCTCGCCGTGGAATGGAGCAGTCGTCCGCGGTACGACGGGCAGGTAAACGACGGCGGGGGGGGGCGGGGTCTCCGACTGGTTGGCCATCGTCGTCCTCCTTGTTTGCCTGGTCCTGGGTGGCAAGGATCCTAACTCCGGGGGCAGGCCAAGGTTCCGGCGACTTAATCGGATCTCGGTCTGGTCTTCGTTGGGTTCTTGGGGGCTTGTGATCGGACCAGGAATCAAACCCTGGCCTTCCGCGTAGAGGGCAAGCGCGATAACCGTTAGGCCACGGGCGCACCGCCTACTTGGTCAGCTGCGCTCGCGGCAATATCGATGGCCGAGGTTTTCCCCCAAAAAAGTCCAATAGGCATTTTAACTGGAGACTTGTGCGACTGAAGCGGAATCTGACGAACCAAGTGTGACCTATGCTGCAATGGCACGAGCACCGCTCCCGGCTTTGTGTTTGTTAGGGGTGCAAGATTTCCGAAATTGTTTGTAGAACGCCAAAATAAAAAAAAAAATAAAAAAAAAAACAGCAACAACAAGAAAACAATTTTCCGAAAATTTTGAGGACATTTAAAACTTTTATAAACAACATCCAATGTTTTTCGCTAGATTTGCCGGTTGCACTATTACCTTATATTATTTTGAAATATTAATATTTATTAGAGTTTGTCAATCTTGCAGGTTTTTTACTTGGCTGTGTGCCGTCGTGGAAATAACAATTCACTCTTGTTCGTACTAAACGCTGTTACTGAATTCAGTGTAAAGGTGAACTTGCAGCCACTGTTCGTATTTTATGATGTCACAGTACACAAATGTAGAAATGGTGGTTCAGTAGCGAAGGTTCGGTTGCGTGTTATACATGTCTCACGACTTTCGTTGACTAAGGGTGTGACAATGTAGTATTCGAGAAATATACAACAAATGACATAAAAAATTGGCTTCTTCACATGTATGCACACTTCACGAGAACAAATATCAAGAAGCCCTAAGTTATTATTCCTGTTTTAGGGCTTTTTAAAACTTTATTTTGATATATTTTTAACATTCATAGCCATGCTCCTGCACAATTCATACTAAGTAGCACAACAATGCCCATTCGGTGTATGAATTTATGGCAGTGCAAACAGTTTCACGACAAAAACAAAAGGCAACAGAAAAACACGATGTCGTGTGCTTCTTCCCATTTTCTTTGTTGCTTAATCAGCGCACCATTTTTTTTTTCGTTTTTGAATTACTGTAAAACTCTTTTTTTCCGCGATTCCTCAATTTTAGGAAATCACGGGAATGGAAAAATTGGCAAATTACGGGAATTGAAAAGTTCGCAAAAATTTAAGACACGCGAAAATTTAATTTTTAAGAGTTTTAATGCAGGTTTCTGGAATTCGCAAAATTTAGTAGCCGCGAATATGTCCTCTGTGACCGATTCGCGATAAATAGGGGCCGCGAAAATAGAGGGTTTTACAGTAGCACATCCAATGTGGTTTCTAATCGTCCACCTGCAGCGTCGACGAAATGACGTGCTTTAATTTTTTTACATGGTGATAAATGCCCATGTTATCGTATGTTTCTGAAATTTACTTAATACGCGTTGGCTCGTTAGTGATCAAAAGATGAAATTGGGTCCAGCTATTTTCCCGCTTTATTTGTAAAAAAAAAATCATGACCCATTAAACTATGTGAAGGTGGATGACCAGTGAATCTGTTTAGCCCACAACACGGACCCACCTCGAGGAGCCGGAGGAAACTTGACACGCGCGACGGGACCGCCACCCCGGGAGAGCGGAAGGAAAGAAAACTAGGCACGCATGCGCTTGGAACGACGAGAAAGAGAGAGCGGTGCGAGCGCAGACATCGCCAACGCGGTCGCACAGTGACAAATCCAAGCACCAACTCGGTCGAACTTGCGCCTCCTTGCCTTTCGAGCTGTGCGACGTCGAAGAACAAAATAGCTGAGTTTGATTACATTACTCATGGATGTGGCGGGACCTTCAATACCCGCCTTGGTTCACACAACTAATACGAAAGAAAAAGGCGCTTCTACACGGATAGGTGATGACACGGAATATGGCCTGAATTTTGATGCTGAGTTACGCCGCAGCGCATGATTTTTGCAAACGAAAGATGGGCCAGAAAATGACCGAGATGTCAAGCGGGTGATGGAAGCCCGCGAAGCCAAACCAGCGCTGTGAGCTAAAGTCAATGGATAAGTTCACGCTTGACGTTTCTTACAAGTTTCGACAAGCACTTTTGGCGAACGCGGGAAATGTGTACATCGAGATCGCGACTGAGTACCGCTCGGGCAGCTCCATAAACGCTAATTTCATTGCTGCACTGCCATTTGCTTCCGAGGATCGCACAAGGCAAGAACTTCCTTCATTGGCATTTGTGATGATTCTATGACGCTTGCAAGGCAAACAAACACACCAAGGAGCTTTGCTTAAAACGTGTAACTGTTCACTTTGGCTTAGGGACTCATGGAGCGCGAGGTCATGTGGCACGTTCTTATCGCGGGTTTGGCTGCTTAGGTCGTGACATCGGTCACGGTCCGTTTAGATTTGAAAGTGAAAGCGCGTCTCGCGGCGGTGAGATATTGCACGTTGTAACGGCATCGCTCCGTTATACATATGTCGCCTCTTATTGTTTCTACTTTCGTGTGGTGCAGCCGGCAGAAATTTCACACAGATTATTCTCCGGGAAAACTTATCTACCTCGGCGTTGTCAGGTAAACGACGCGTGCCGCCGGTGGCCGTCCGTGCAAGCTCGAGAAAAAACAACAATGCTTTGACTTGGGGTTTTTGGTCTCCATCTAGTCGAACTTACTCAAAATAAATGTTGCAAAACTGTTGCGTCAGATTTATTTACGGAAACACGAGAATACTATAACATTTAGTCTACCCGTCAGGCTCTAAAAATTAAGATGGAAGACACCTCTTAAATGTGCAACCACGTTTTATCACGCCTATCTTCCAAGTAAATTCGATTTCAAAATTGCCTCAATATGCGATCTTAGAGTTAAGACTAAAATATTTCTAACTTCAAAACCTCCAGCCCTGCCAGGCTTAAATCTGAGGGTTTTATGGCATATATTGCGTCTTCACAATGAACCTTCAAAAGAATCAATACTCTCGTGAATTTTATAAACTCGATTTTGTGTAGCAAAATTTGCTTATTGAGTGGTGAATTGCCCTTAACTAAATAAATCAAATCAATCGCTCGCAAGTTTTGCTGTTTTAGCATCATTATTTCCTTGATGTACACTATTTTCTAAAGCAGTGAGTTGTGAAAAAAATGTTGAATGAAGGGTACATTTTAGTCAACCGTCGTGATATACCGTGTTTCTTCGCTCCGGCAAAGCGATACGTGTTTAGGACAACGGTTAGTTAAGAAGCTTTCTTTGCGGTAGATTTCCTTCCGGATTCCTTAACGACCCCAGATAGTAAAGGAATAGTTACGTTAGTAGTAAGTTATCTTCTTAAGTTGAAAGCAAATACAAAGCGATGGTTTGGTTTTTCAAAACGAGATAAACAAATTTCGTGGTCTGTGCTTCTGTGTATACCCACAATATCTAACGTACTGGAGTTTGTCACCGTGTTCATTAACGGTGCTAATAAAGCATTATTTAAAATTTTGGTCTATTGAAGATAAATAATGTTCTAGTCTTAAGGGTTTAATTTTCTCTTCACGCGCGGAAGTGTTTCAGCAAAGCGTAATGAACACGGCCAGAGCGAGAGATTAGTTACCATTATACGTTTTAAAAACTAAACTTCTCAGTGAATACGCATAAAAAGGCTGCACAAAAAATTTGATGCCTGGTTAACATATTTGTCTTTGTAAGTATGCACAGTATTCTAGGTAACTTACCTCGGTTAAATCAGAAATTTTTCTTTTAATATATTCCTTAGCTAATGCTTCGCATCTTGGTGGAAGGTTATTAAAATCTCCCTTAATAATAGGTTCACCTGCATAAAAAAGAGAGGGTTAATATCATTACGAGGGGAGTTCTGCGAATGATCACTTATCATTATGAACAGGCCTGACGAGCGCGTGAACTGCTTCAGTATGAGTAGACTTAATAAGTGCCCTTAAAATTACTGTCATTATTAGATTGTTGCTCTCCATTTTGCGGTGGAAGTTCGAGTGAAGTATATAAAATATGGTTTTAAAAGGATGTTTCAGAAATAAAATGCACGATTTTTTAAACTAGATTATAAGTGAGTTTTAGCAGTGAATTTGAATCTGGAGTTATTTTCAGAAAAAATATGTAACGTTACAAACGAACGTCACGGATGCAGCGTCACGTGTAATCACCTGGTGAGATTACATAATCACGGGCTCATCAAACGTCAGTCTCGTTATCCCATGACCTGCCTAACGTCAGGCGGTTAACTCACCACGTGGTTCTTGTGAGCGAATTCTCTATATGCAGTAGTTCGGCGAGAACCATAGCAGTTTCTGATCTTTATTTATTTCAAGAATACGTTTCAGATACCTAGCACATAAAATCAAAATAAAATTTCAAAACAATATTTTACAATGGGCATAAGGTACACGTTTACGGGATTTAAAATAAAAGTTATCTACTTTAGCACAATGTAAAATTCTATAATTTTGGGAAACCAGCTAATCAAAGCCGCAACACTTCATGGAGTAGTGGGCAATAAAAGCAGTCAGCAAAATTGAAAGCATATTTTAAGTATTTGAAAACACCAACATAACAAGTTCATGACTAAATGTAGACTGTAGACACAATATGACAGAAGCTGACAACTTACATCTCGCTCTTTGTACAGGGAACGGTGGTTTTTGAATTATGAGTGCTGTTAAGTACCGGTATGTACTTGCGAAACGTGAAACATATTCATAACCATAATAATACTTGGAGGAGGGAAACAATGGGTACACAGGACATACACAAATCTCAAAACACAGCCAGGTGACTAATGCGCGACCGAAGAAATGTGCCTGTTCCGGGTATCGAACCAGGGGCCTCCCCATTCCCACTGGAGCGCTCTACCAACTGAGCTAACCAGAAGTTAGACGTCGGTAGAGAAAACGGGTTTTAACAGCTGCCAGCAGTCTAACACCAACAAGGATGAACAGGCCTGCATTTTAAGGTACTGATGATAATGTAATTATTGGAAAGGTGCAAGCGAGCTGAAAAAAAAAATGATGATAATATTCATTGGAGAGTGGGAACCAGGGGAACAAAGGAGAAACACATTTCCATACACAGCTAGGTGCTTGGTGCGCGTCTAAAAATCCGACTGCTCCTTTTATCCAACCAGGGACCTCTTCATTTTCAGTGGATCGCTCTACCAACTTTGCTAACCAGAAGTGAAACGTCAGTAAAGGAAACAGGGTTTAACAGCTGCCACCTGTCTGAAACTAACAAGTGTGAACGGCCTGCATTTTAAGGTTATGATGATACTGCAATTAATGTAAAGGTTCAAGCTCTCACCCTTGCTGCCGTCGGACTGGATGTAGCTGTTAAAACCCCTTTGCTCTACTAAAGTCTAACTCCTGTTTAGCTCAGCTGGTAGAGAGCACCACCGGAAACGAAGAGGTCGCTGGTTCGATACCAAGACCAGGCAATTTGTTTCACTCGCACACCAGTCACCTAGTTGTGTTTGGAGATTTGTGTTTGTTCTTCGTCCCCCTTGTTCACCATCTCCAGGAATTATTATTAATATTCCTTGCGAGCTCGCTTGCAGCTTTGCATTATTGCATAATTTGCATTATCATCTTAACCTTAAAGTGCAGGTCGTTCAACCTTGTTGGTGTTAGACGGGTGGCAGCTGTGAAAACCCGTTTGCTGTACTTACGTCTAACTCCTGGTTAGCTCAGTTGGTGGAGTGCTCCACTGGAAACGGAGAGGTAATTTTTTGATACCAGAACATTGCGGTATTTTTAGTCAAGCACCACTCACCTAGCTGTGTTTAGAGATTTCTGCTGGCGGCTACCAGGCCGAGAGGAGACGCGCGATTGCGCGGCTTCTGATTTCTCATCTGCGAAATGAAACTTAAAATATTTACCTGCTGAGGTAAGCTGCAGAGAATGCACAAATACTACAAGAAGCACCGCGAATTTTTTCTGCTTTTCGGCCATTGAGAATGAGCGTCCGGTCTTAGACATTTTGGAATTAACCTAGAACGAAACACCACGCAGAGAAAGTTAGCATTCGAGTGCTTTAGTATGCGTATGTACATTTGGCGTTCTGAAGTTTCAATGTCGCTATCATTCTTGAGTGAACTTATTTATCAAGGCTGGCTATAGTTTTGTAGAGGGCTCTGGGGGGGGGGGGGTGTCCGCCGTTGTCCTTTGAAGTATTGTATTTTTCAAAGCGAAGTCTCACACAAAGATTTCTGGCTAATAGCAGGTATGTAGAGCTTTGACCTATATCCCATCTGACTAGTTTCGCACAAAATTGCCAAAGGCGCAAGGGTGACAGAGCAATCCGAGCAACTGCAGACAATGAAAAAAAATAATTTCTTTAAAAACTTTCTAATGTTTTTTTCTTGTGAATTCTACGTTGATTTTTCTTTATCTCTCTCTCTCTTTCTCTCTTTTGGCGTGTATTGTGCAGTGCCGCGCCTAACGAGTGAGATAAAATATACAGGTTTTTCTAATATAAAAACTCGCAAATATGCAAAATAAATTTATTTACACCGCAACATGATGCTCTGCACGTTCTCAGTTGACATGAGACCGCGTTTTTTACAGGGCCTATGTGTCCGACCGACACTGCATGTGATATGACCTGCCAGCTCTATTTCTACTAATCATTCTGGTCAATCTTCCTGGCCTGTCATGCTTAATATTTAAAAAAATGGTGATGCTTTTGTTTTTAATTAATGGTGTTAGGGTAATTCGAGTCACCAGGCTCGTTCTAAAATGGACCGTAAAAATCGACGCCTGCACGCAGCCACCAAAACCTTTCGTCAAAGGTTATTTCACAGAACGGTTTTTTCTTGTAAAATTACAAAAACGTAGTTCTCTTTTAGTAAAAATTAGGGCCAAGAAACTTACCAGGGTCTACGGCGGGCGGCGACCCAAACGACCAAGTCCAGTAGCGGGGTGTGTTTGGCGTTCGTATTGATAGATGGCGTCGGGAGCAGTGTCTGAAGGTGCGGCCGACCAGCGAAAGAAAGCAGACCACACGCAGACGAAATCCGTTGGCAGCAGAAGCGCCGCCGTTATGCAGACGCGTTTTTTTTACTTTAAGTTTCTTTTTATTGTTCGCATTTATTTTTTAACCGAAGGTATATTTTCAAAAAGATTATATTAATTTTAATAAACCGCCGTGGTCGCGAGCCGTCGCGATAAGGAAATAGCACCATCTGTCGATACGAACGCCAAACACACCCCGCTACTGGACCCCTGTCGTCTGCGTTGCTGCCCGTCGTAGACCCTGGCAAGTTTCTTCACCTTATTTTTTACAGAAAGAGAGCTACGCTTTGTAGTTTTACAAGAGAAACAGACCTGTGAATCACACTTTTGATGAAAAGTTTAGATGGCTACGTGCAGGCGTCGATTTTTACGGTCCATTTTAGATCGAGACTGGCGACTTGAACCACCCTATATATTCCTTTGTGAGATGTACTACCAGAGGAACGGACTATGAAGCGCGGCGGAAGCTCGGAAGTGCAATAAAGAATTTGTCCCTCAACCAGAACAAACAAAACAAAACATACTGCTCGCAACACTGGAGGAGCAAAAATTATGAAGCAGTTAGTGAATATAAGGGGAAAATGCAGAAGAGCTGGTGGAGGCCATTCATTGTAAACCTCAGACAAAGGAATGATAAAAAAAAAACAGACACAGCAATGAAGTCTTCGTTCTTTTGTTGTTTTAATATTAGTACTGCCTAATAATAAGAATATAATATCAAAATAATCGTAATGATAATAGTAATGATAACAATATTATTTATATTAAAAATAAGACGTTCAGAACCACAAAGACTTCATTGATCTTTGTCCGCCCTGCTGCTGCTGGAGTTGCTGCTGGAGTTGCTGCTTCCGTTGTTCGCTTTAAGTAGAGGTCAATACGTTGCCAAGATTTCTTTCAATTATCTGCCTCAGTTTCTTAAAGCACGAATTCCCCTGGTAGAAGAAGGTGGTTTGTAGTACATTGACCTCTTCTAGACTTATCCCGCCGTTCAGGTTTTGAGATCGAAGGACACTTCTCACACCATTATTCAAATGTGGGTAAGCGCCGGCATAGATTAGAACTATAATGAGACAGTTATTGGCCACTTCTTTCTCAGTTTTGAACAACTAGCGAGGGCACACCACTGCGGATGCAAACGTATTCTTCAATCTCAAAACCGACTCTTGGTGTCTTATAATCAAATTTATTTGATACGTTATTAAGTAAAACACTCTATGCATTATTGAACTTTCAAAACGAAAACAGATGCCTATACGTTTTTAAAGCGCAAGCATCACAGGTCTTACCAACCCCAAGAGTCCCGTAAGTACGAAATGACGAAATGTGAAGGTCCATAACCGCTGAACAATCTCGAAGAAAACAAAAACGGCAATCGGTGCCAGGAATTCCACCTTGGTAACCGGTGTGGAAGCCGAGTGCATTGCTGACTGAGCTCGGGACCCAGCACGAAGGAACAGGGAAAGCAGAATCAGGTGGTGTGAGAAAGCGCGCGGACCGCAGAGGAATGAAAACGGCAAGAAAGGGCGAAGCAGAAACAGGAGGTGTAGAAAGAATGAACAGAACAATGAAGAGTATGAAGGGCAATAATGCGCGCTTCCTCTCTCTCTTGGTGACCGAGAAATTTCAGCATAAAGGCTTTGCATCCCTGTGGCGCTGAATGGAAGCGCGCGCAGCGTATCAAGGAGACCATGGTGAGGCGTAATCGGTTTCCATACAAAACCCTCCCCTGGGCACCGCCTGAGCTAAGAGCACACCCTACCCCAGGCGCTGAAAGATTAAAGGACATCTTGCCTTAGGCGCCTCCCGAACTAAAAGCACCACCCACCCTATAAATCAATCGCTTTTAAAGGCGTTTGGCAGAAGGACCAAACATACAGCGCATTTTAATCTCTCTTTACCTGTACCACCAGTCATTCTTGACCTGTCTTTTTTGTTTATTAAATGCGATAACATTCCTTTGGCAGCACTTCTCCAGTAAAATTTTCACCTGTAACGCGACACGATTTGACCTTATTTCTTCATCTTTCTTCTGGTCTTCTCCTCTATCAGGTCCTTTCCTCTTCTTATCGCGTTCTCCTCAACGCAGCTTACGCAATCCGCGCGCACGCTGTGCGTGTCGCGGGTCGCTCTACGCATATACCATTTTACTCCACTCCCGTCTTTTTTTCCCTTCTTATGGCGGGTATGCTCGGCTTGCCGGCTGCATTTCGGCTGTGCCATCGGACGAGCGGTGGCGTGATATGCAGTTGTCTCCGTGGACAAGGGCCTGTCGCAGTTCACTCTGTTATATGATAAAAGTGAAACGCTTGCTTCAAGTTCTCCCATATTCATTACGGTGCCTCACAAGATAAAGAAACCGACCGAAGAAACCATCACTGAGCAGAAGCGGCGGTGCACTAAGGCTCGAGGTTATGGTCGTACCAATGAGACACCGCAAAATGAAGAAGGGCTTTAAGTCTTTATATTAAGCACGACATATGCCGTCGCCCAGTCTATACTAGATCTTCAGCTACTAAAAAAGTCAACAGCTGAAAATCTAAAGTGATTTTTTTTAATTGCATAACAATGTGCGGACGTTGGATGCTTCGTTACCCGACAAAAAGTCGTATGAATTTAGTCTGCGGAGTATGACACAAATTGAAGAAAAGCAATGCTAGACTATTGCGACGCCTCAGAAAAACTCAGCCTCGTTTAATATCAAGCCGCATACCTCTTAACGTGTATTTTTAGAAGTACTTTAATTGATTACGTCAACTGAAATTTTTCAAAGCTGTGTGATGATAATGAAAGCACGCGCGGCTTGTTTTTCTATACAAGAAAAACTGTTCGCCATTTATGTATGGGTTCTCAATTTTTTGCAGGGATATAAGTACAGCTGAAGGTTGATGTAACTGGCTTTTGAAATTTTTTCAATCGACTCATCTTTATTTTGGCAAACTGATGAAACTTAAAGACTGCTTGTAATACCCCAGCAGTTTCCCCGGCCGTAAAAATATATGCATTCTTTAGTCCGTTCGTTCTTTTGCTCTCGAATATGGTGGTGATACCTTTAACAATACTAGGGACATCTGGACCCCACAAGGTCATCTCATGAGTAAAAAGAAAGAACTTAGCCCTATAGTTTGTTCTGTTTTCTTTGGAAATTAGCCAAGACAATTTAGCTTTATTAATTTAGTTTCAATTGGTAGAAATCTGCCAGCCTCCTGGCCTAAGTATGTTTTTATTCACGACTATTCTTTGTGTTTTTTTTATTTTCTAACAAAATTTGCAGAAAAAGATAAAGAAAGATCCGCTTGTAGATTCCTAGGGAATGCTTTAGCACGACCCTTGGGAAACGCCACATACGACCCCCTTTGGAAAACGCTAACGCTCACACGCTGACCCTTTCACTTTCTTCTTTTGGTTGTACCTTTTCCTTGGTCTTTTTTTTTCTTGTTGCCCTTTTTTGGCTTTGTTACGGGGTCAGCATTAGCGTACTATAGGGGGACATGTGTGGCATCTCCCCTGTCCCAATAGAGCAAAGCCTGTCAGTCTGCAGCAGAAATCTGATGGATAGGCTCCCATTGGCTGGCCCGCGTTATAGTTTTAAGGTGCAACCCCACCGTGCATGACGTTTTCATGCTTTTTTGACGGCTTATGACTTTCTTTTTATGTATCTTACATTTATAAAGTTAATATCAAATTAAAGAGCTTTTTTTCAACGATACTTTAAAGGGGCGGTGCAACGATTTTATGATTAAAACAATTTGCATCTCGTCATGTTTACGTTATTTATCGTGTCCCAGAGGATAGAGAAAACACTTCCTTCATGAAAAATGTCGCGATTCCGCTGCATAATTGCAAAGCAAAAGTCGAGCTCTTTCCCCCACCTGCAGCCCCAAGTGGCAGCCGAAGGAACTACGGCGGAAAGATTACGTGACCTCGCTCGGCTCTAAGCTGCAGCATAGCGCCCGCTAATGTAC